GGATCGGTACGATGCTAGCGACTATTGTAAGGAGTAGTCGCTACCTGTTTAGCAACTCTTCATGCATATAATCAGTATCAAAGTACCGATTGTATCATTTTCTATTTTATTTATTTATTTATTTTCTGCGTTTTTCTTTTTTCATTGAATTTTTTTCTTCTACTTTACTTTATTTAGATTCAAATACATTTAGATTTATATTTATATCCTTATTTTCAAGTGTGGACAACAATGGTCGACCCGTGGGATTAGAACTAAATTTTACCACCTATAAATGCCCTATTCCTGGCATCAATCGTTCGTATGGGCAATAATGGTTAACCTGTGTGATTAAAACTAAACCCCACCCCATATAGATAGCAGCTTATATGCTCCACCCTTGAGACCAATGCTTCGTGTGGGCAACAATGGTTGACCTATGCATCGAGCCCTCCTTATTTTCGGCGCTCGGGCTTGCATTGTTTTACTTGTGCTAATTTTGCCATACTTCTATGCACCAGCCCACCTCTCGTTTTGCATGTCACAGTTTGCGTAACGTATCCTGCCTCGTTTTTGCATGCCTCGTTTTTCATGCGTCTGGGTTCGACTCGTTCTGCTTGCGTTAACTTTTCGTGCCTGGAGTTCGTCTTGTTTTGTGTGCCAAAAGCTTGCCATGATTTTGCATCCCCGACCCCGCCCCTCTTCATACGACGGGTCCTGCCTTGTTTTGTGTTCGCCAAGCCCACCTGAAAACCCATGTTTTTTTTTTTTTTTTTGAAAAACCGATGTCATTTACACTAAAGAGGAGGGGGGTGGATTTAGCCTCATTATGAGCTAGCAATAATATGGTTCAAATTCGCCTTTAACGAGAATCGAAACTAAAACCTTTCACTTACAAATGAAGAAAATACCATTAGACCGTAGTACTAAGTGACAATCTTATTACTACATGATTATTTTTTTTAAATATAAGTTAAAGCCAAAGAAAAGTTAATAGAATAAAGAGGGGAAGTAAATGCTCCATGGCAGAGAGGGATAGAGAGAAAAATAAGGCATGACCTAAAACATAAAAAGAGTTTGAATTAAAAACGCTCTTAAATTTAAGAGTATTAAATTGATATGCGGCAGCAACATCTGCTATAGTACCAAGAAAGAAAATAAAGGCAGATGGGAACAGACCATTCTGGTGTCCCCTTAGTGGCTCTACCACTGGGAAGCATCGTTTTTTTTTTGGTTTTGGATGAAGGGAAGCATCGAATTTTTTTTTTGTTTTGGATCAAGAAGGGGAGACAAATTTGTAGGCATGCATCCCAATAAATTCGAAAATGAAGAATCTCTATAGGAGGAGCAAGCATGCCAAACAAGTGAAGACAAGAAAAGTTCTCAATTAGCTAATTTGTCAGCAATTTCATTCCCTTATCGAAATGTATGAAAGTAATGAAAAACCATGTGTTGTAAAAGAGAAATACAATTTTTCCAACGAGTCTGGAACGACCAGAAGCAAAACAAAATATCACAGTAGAAGAGTCACTTTCACCCCCATAAAGTTTGCCAATCATGCATGAGCCAACTCCACAGAAAGGATGACATCATGAAGCTTCGCATAGAAAAAAGTATGATGCCACAAACTCAGGGACAAACCACCAAGAAAATAACTCGTGGAATCTTGAAAAACCCCACCACAAGCCGCATACCTTTAGCAAGGCCATCCGTATTCACTTTGACCCAAGGAAATGAAAAAGGGAGGCAAAAAACATGAATTATAGAATGAGCTTTACAGGACTCAGCTAAGATTCAAGAGAGACTAAAGGTTGCTTATCCAAAATATGACATACATGACCAGGAGTGAAAACTCCAACCTGCCAAATCCATACCAAAGTAGAACCACAAAGGTGTGAAAAGGAAGTAGGCTTACTTTCAAACTTCACTTTATTACGCGTCTTTCAAATAGCCGTTAACCCATGTTTTTTTGTAAAATATGCAAAACTTTTTATTTTCACGAAATATTTTCCGTGAGCATTAAGGAAACCTTTATAATGCATTTAGAAGTGGATTTATGGTTTATTAAGCAACAAATGTATATTTAGTAGAATATTTAAGCCAAAACTAAAAAAAAAGTGAAAAATATAGTAGTGACGCCTAAGACATTGGCATATGGGGTTCTACTCTCAAGAATCTCTATGGATAGTCTTACCTTAATTCTCAAAACTTCATGGTAAGGTGAATGTGAAAATAAATAGATTGAACAATGATTTATGTACGAATTTTCAAAACCGCCTAAAAACTGTGAGTTTAACACCCACCTTTTTTTATAAAAAATACAAACGTTTTATTTTGGAGAAATATTTTTTGTGAGCATTAAGGAAATCTTTATAAGGCATTCGGAAGCGGATTTATGATTTACTGAGTAAGAAATGTATATTTAGTACAACATTTAAGCCGAAAACTAAAAAAAAAAATAAATGAAAAATATTATTAATGAGGCCCAAAACATTGTCAAATGGGTTTCTACCCTCAAGAATCTCAATGCAAAGTTTTACCTTAATTCTCAAAGCTTGACGGTGAGGCGAAGGTGAAAATAAATAGATTGAACAATGGTTTAAGTACGACTAGGCAATGACCGGTAGTGTGATACCGACCTTTCCCTATTCCAATTTATTTACTTTAAGTGAGTAACCACTATTAATTCATATTTTAAAATTTTAGGTTTAAATCGTCGATTACAAGTGTTTAAATGCGAATTATAATAGATCTCGCACGAAAAATTTGAAGAACATGAATATGATTGTCTGATGTTATGTTAAGAGAAATAAAAGAAAAATTACTAGAAATAAAAAAAAATTCAAATATCTTTGAATTTAGATTTTAAATCGTTGATTATAAGTGTTCAAATATGAATTATAACATATTTTTGCAAGGAAAAATATATTTTGAAAAACATGAATATGATAGCTTGTTGTTATAGAAAGGGAAATAAAAGAAAAAAAATGATCGGTATGATGCTAGCAACTAGTGTGAGGAATAGTCGCTATCTTTGTAGCAACTGTTCCTAAATACAATCAGTAGGAAAGTACCGATTGTATCATTTTATATTTTATTTATTTATTTTCATTGTTTTCTTTTTTCATTGAATTTTTTTTCTTCTACATTACTTTATTTAGATTCAAATACATTTAGATTTATATTTATATCCTTGTTTTCAAGTGCGGACAACAATGGTCGACCCGTGGGATTAAAACTAAATTTTGCCACCTATAAATGCCTTACTACTGGCACCAGTCATTCGTATGGGCAACAATGGTTAACCAGTGTGATTAAAACTAAACCCCACCCCACATAGATACCAGCTATATGCTCCATCCTTGAGACCAATGCTTTGTGTGGGCAACAATGGTTGACCTATGCATCGAGCCTGCCTCATTTTCGGCACTCGGGCTTGCGTCGTTTTACTTGTGCCGATTCTGCCATACATCCGTGCACCAGCCTGCCTCTCGTTTTGTGTGTCACAGTTTACGCAACGTATCCTGCCTCATTTTTTGTGCGTCTGGGTTTGACTCGTTCTGCTTGCACTGAGTTCGTCATGTTTTGCGTGCCTCACTTTGCGTGCATGGAGTTTGTCTTGTTTTGCGTGCCAAATGTGACATCCCACATCGCCCAGGGGAGTGATCCTTATATGTATTTTCTCATCTCTACCTAACGCGAGGCCTTTTGGGAGCTCACTGGCTTCGGGCTCCATGGGAACTCCGAAGTTAAGCGAGAAAGGGGCTAGAGCAATCCCAAAGACAGATTAATCCAAAAAACATTTTTTTTTTCGAAAAGTCTCAACGTCTTCGTTGAGTGTCGCTCTGCGAGACGCCCAGCAGTCTCTGACTTGGTCTTCCAAATTAAATGAGTTAATGAGATAATCCTTCTATGTCTCAGTGACCCATTGAGAAGTTGCTCGTGAGTTCCCAAAAACAAAACCATGAGGGAATGGTGAGCCCAAAACGGACAATATCGTGCTACGGTGAGTTCCCAAAAACAAAACCGTGAGGGAATGGTAAGCCCAAAGTGGACAATATCGTGCTACGGTGGTGGAGCGGGCTCGCGAGGTGATCCGCCCTGGGCCGGGATGTGACAATTTGGTATCAGAGCCTAATCCTGGGCGTGGTGTGCCGACGAGGACGTCGGGCCCTTAAGGGGGTGGATTGTGACATCCCACATCGCCCAAGGGAGTGATCCTTAAATGTATATTCCCATCCTTACCTAGCACGAGGCTTTTTGGGAGCTCACTAGCTTCGGGTTCCGTAGGAACTCCGAAGTTAAGCGAGAAGGGGGCTAGAGCAATCCCATGATGGGTGACCCACTGGGAAGTTGCTCGTGAGTTCTCAAAAACAAAACAGTGAGGGAATGGTAAGCCCAAAGCGGACAATATCGTGCTACGGTGGTGGAGCGGGCTCGGGAAGTGATCCGCCCCGGGGCGGGATGTGACACCAAAAGCTTGCCATTTTTTTGCGTCCCCGACCCTGCCCCAGTTCATATGACGGGTCCTGCCTCGTTTTGTGTGCACCAAACCCGCCTGAAAACCCATGTTTTTTTTAAATTAAAAATGCAATTTTTTTTTAAATTTTCACAAAATATTTTCCGTGAAGAAAACGTTACAAGGCATTTGGAAGGGGTTTTATGGTGTTTTTTTTTTTTCTTTTTGAAAAACCAATGTCATTTACACGAAGGGGGAGGGGGTGAATTTAGCCTCACAATGGGCTAGCAATAATATGGTTCAAATTCGCCTTTAACGAGAATCGATATTAAAACCTCTTACTTACAAATGAAGAAAATACCATTAAACCGTAGTACTAAGTGACAATCTTATTACTACAATTTTTTTTAAAATATAAGTTAAAGCAAAAGAAAAATTAATAGAATAAAGAGGGGAAGTAAATGCTCCATTGCAGCGGGATAGAGAGAAATAAGGCGTGACTTGAAATATAAAAAGAGTTTGAATTAAAAACGCTCTTAAATTTAAGAGTATTAAATTGATATGCAGCAGCAATATCTGCTATAGTACCAAGAAAGAAATTAAAGGCAGATGGGAACACACCATTCTGGTGTCCCCTTAGTGGCTCTGCCACTGGGAAGCATCGCTTTTTTTTTTTTTTTTTTTTGATGAAGGGAAGCATCGCATTTTTTTTTTTTTTTGGATGAAGGGAAGCATCGAATTGTACCAATGTTCGTAGCCTTTCCACGTCCCTCCTTTTTTCTTATAGTTAAAGTTTTTCTCTCCTGCATAAATCAAACAAAGGCATTGCCTTGGTGGAGTTTAGGTTTTTCAACACTCTGCCTTCTTTCCTGGGTAAGCTCCTCCTCCTCCTCTCATTTCATTTCCTCCTAATTAACAGTAATATAAATCTTCTGTTATTCGTTCAAGAACCCATAATTTACCATTTAAATTCATCATTTTTCTCCCCCTCTAAATTTTCAGGAACTATTTTCTCTCTATCCCACTTAATTTTTATTTTTTGGGTATTTTTTAATTGTTTTTCCTGGGTCATGTTCTTATTCGGTTGTTTATATGGGTAGAGTTTATTTGTTTGATTGCTACTTCTTTTGTTTTATTGTTTTGTTTGTTAACTTGAAGGTTGAAGTGTCTGTAAACTTTTTGTACTCTCGGAGATGGAAAGTTTGAATCTTTTTCCCAATTTATGAGTGCAAACTGCAATCCATGGTCTGAAATTCTAATTTAATTATGGACAGGTTTTGATAATTTTTTTAAACATTGCAGTATTTAGCTGTGATCAAGAATTGCAGCTTAATCCTGTCTCTGAGAATTGCAACTTCCATGGTTTAGCTGTGCATTGATGGAACACAACAACAGTAGAGTGGGGGAGAACAGTTCTTCCCATTGCAATAACACGAAGAACCCGGATAGCCATAGAATTTATCCTAGTAGAGATCCCATGCCTGGGACTGGGAGTGACCTTTGGAAAAATGGGCTTATTTGTGCTTTTGAGTTTATCCGAAGACGGAAGAAAATAATTAGTTCAAAACCTGGTTCAAAAAACCTGACTAAACAACAAATAGATGGTGAGCAAGAGAGGGTGCATGTTCCTTCTTACGGATTTTCTGATTCTCCATCCCAAATGGAAGATAGGAGCCAGCAATCAGGCCAAGTTCAGGATATGGAAAGGTTTGAGGGTGGTCATTGGGTTCCAATTGGGTGGGATAGGATTTCGGAAATTGTACAAACTGTGCAAGCTAATGCTAGTTGGGCCTCTCAGCAGTTTGGGATGGATGGTGAAGATGACTTCACTGTTGCAGATTTAGCAGCTCCATATTGGGAGCGTCCAGCAGGGCCCATTTGGTGGTGCCATGTCTCTGCAGGCCACCCCACAGTTGAAGCATGGCTCAACAATGCCCAGTGGCTTCACCCTGCAGTTAGGTTAGCTTTAAGAGATGAAAGTCGACTGATCAGTGACCGGATGAAGCACCTGCTATACGAGGTACATTGCATTTGTTATATCTGAAATTGCTAAGTGATTAGTACTATTGGTTTGTAAAGCCTGTTGCATTGGCAGGAGTGGAGCAAAGTGACTGACTTTCAGCTTAAACTTTTTCGGAATCTGGTTTTGTTGAAGAGTTGATTCTGAACATGCTTTGATGCCTCTTTTCAGGTCCCAGTTAGGGTTGCCGGGGGGTTGCTATTTGAGCTTTTGGGACAGTCTATTGGGAATCCATTTGTTGATGAGGATGATATCCCCATTGTTCTTCGATCGTGGCAAGCGCAAAACTTCCTTGTAACTGTTTTGCATATTAAGGGGCCCGTGTCAAGTATAAATGTGTTGGGTATCACAGAAGTTCAGGTTGTTCATCTTTGACTGATCCTTTCAGTGGCTTTGAACTTCTTACTGTGTTATTTTTTTGTGCATGCAACTGAAGGGCTGGTAGGTTAATCCTTTGCTTTGGTTAGGAACTTCTTTCAACTGGAGGCTATAATGCACCGAGAACAGTGCATGAAGTCATAGCACATCTAGCTTGCCGCCTTACTCGATGGGATGACAGGTAACTTTAGTACTATCGTTCTGATTTAGCAAAATTACAGCAGCCTACCTGCTGTGGAAATGGCATATCAATTATTGGCGTTGGCTTATGCATGTACTACAACTAATTCTATTCCGTTGTCCATAATTTTATGTATGCATTGTTACGTGTTTGTCATTTCTTATTCTCCAACCTGTGGTTCCCTTCAATGTCTCCACTGTTTCAGGTTATTCCGTAAGTCCATATTTGGAGCAGCTGATGAGGTTGAATTAAAATTTGTGAACAGGTTCTTCCATATGCATGCAACCATTCCCTGTAAAGTAATATTACCTCGTTGATTACTATTTAGTTTGTAATTCACTTATGACTTTACCTTCTTTGTTTAATAGGAGAAACCATGAGGATATGAATCTTTTCACTGTAATCCTCAACCAAGAAATCAGAAAGCTATCAAGACAGGTATGCTGTATCTCCTTGCTAGCAAATTCTGTTTGATGTAAAAATCGCTCGATTCTATTTTAACGTTTATTCTTTTGAAAGGATAAACCAAAGATGAACAACCTGAACTTTTAGTAAGACAATGACTTCTATGAGCTGTTGAATCTCACTTCTCGTAAGACAAATGGCTTCTAAGAGCCATTGGGGTGTGGCTGTGTGAGTGACTGAGTGATATACTAATGTACAGATCTTGCACATCGAAATGGAAGCAAGAAACTGAGTCAATCGGAAAGGGATATTGGTTTTGAGAGCTTCTCATGTTTTGTGGACAACAGGAATTATGTTAGAATATATGTTCTTATGATGTTATTGAATCTACCCTACTCCCGTTATTTCTACGGTTCTAACTGTATACTTGGTGTTTGGGTACAGACATAATATCTAACCCGTAGCCACCATATGTATGTGGTATCGTATTTCCTATGGCCTTGAATACCCATTCCCCGTTGAAGTGGAAAATTGAGTCCGGCTAACATTTAGTTTTAGCATCTAGGCAGTCAGTAGAAACTTTTTGTTTAACTGTCCATTGAGGTTACCCTGCCATTCAAATTAATAGACTTTGTTGGCAAACTCCATAATTTTATTGCAGGTTATCAGAGTGAAGTGGTCGCTTCATGCAAGAGAAGAGATTGTATTCGAGCTTCTCCAACATTTGAGAGGAAATGCAGCAAGAACCTTGTTAGAGAAAATACGAAAGGCCACAAGAGAAATGATCGACGAGCAAGAAGCAGTTCGCGGCCGCTTATTTACCATTCAGGACGTGATGCAGAGCACTGTTCGTGCGTGGTTACAGGATCGAAGCCTTCGAGTGACACACAACCTGACTATTTTTGGTGGCTGCGGCCTTGTCCTTTCCATCATCACCGGGCTGTTTGGAATTAATGTTGACGGAATGCCGGGAGCACAGAACGCTCCATACGCATTCGGTGTATTTTCAGCCGTTCTCGTCTTTATAGGAGCCGTGCTAATCGGAGTAGGGCTGCTCTACCTTGGGCTGAAACAACCGGTCACCGAAGAGCAGGTTGAAGTTAGAAAGCTGGAGCTTCAAGAGTTGGTTAAGATGTTTCAGCACGAGGCTGAGAATCATGAAGTGGTTCGTAAAGATGCGTCTCGCAGTAATCTATCCCCTACAGCCGGCAACGGTTTCCTACGTGATGCAGATTATGTTGTGATTCAAGGAGTATGATGCAATTGTTGGTGTACTCTTTATACACCAACAGTCGGATTCTCGGAAACAGAAAAGAAGAGAATACATTTTCTCCGTGTTACTTAAAGTTTATAGCTCGATCAAGACAACATCGCATATGGTACAAAATTAATTACAATAGCAATCTCGAACATCCCTGTGAGTTCATTCGGCATTCAATTCATCGAAAGATGTAAATGTATATCTCGAATTCTAAACCTTTGACATCAACCAGTCCAAATTAACCGAGTTCTGCAGAAGTAATCGAACTTGATAAAATCGCAGCATCTGATGAAACAGAAACATATAAAACTGATGTCCTCTCTCCTTGCTTTTCCTCTTTCAACACATCATTTAAGAAGTTGTCTGGCTAGATGTTCGCGGGCAGTTGCCAAAGCTTGACTTATTGTCTGTAAGAAGAAATACATATGCATTAAGAACATAAAATTTGGTGGCAGGGAGTATTCGGTTTTTGAATTAGTATTTTTTACATGTCGAGTTTAACCATCTAGTCAACGGATATACCTGCTCAGACAACGGAGCTCCAGCATCAATACTGTGACTTGCAACCTTACTTGCTATAACATTTGAATCGGTCTCGAGAATAATACTGCACCAAAAAGAAAGGGTTAAGCCTAAGGGCGCTGTGATTGTACAAGAAATAAAGTACTTATGAACTGAACAAGCGGTCCAGACATGCAAATCGTATTTATCATTATTCTCTGCAAGTAAACTGCAACAACGTTGGTTCTTATATCAGTCTAGGCTTTTAGAAAAATGTAAAAGTTGGGAATTGAACTCACTGAATAGCACTGACAAACTTTAATAGCGTGAAGGTTATAGGCTTACCCTCCGTCCACAATTTCATCAAGGCATAGTAAAATGAGATCCAAATTCTCAAGTGCCTCCTTCTTGTCCACATTGCCTCTGGACAAAAGTGAGACAAAATGAATATAAAAATATAACTACTTGAGAGTAGAGAATTTATCTAGTTTTATAAGGGGATAAAATACCTCAGGAGAATGCCAACCGCATCAAAAAATCCCTGCAGAACTGTGGCTAAAATGAGCTCGTTTTCATTTTCACCACCAGTAACAAAAAAGTGAAGGTCTTGAACAAACTTGTAAACTACAATGGTGCCCTCGAACATTGCTATCTCAGCTGTACATGAAGACGCAACAAGTTAATATGGAAGTGGTTCGAATCAAAACAACACAATGCTGCATATGAGGGGATAGCAGTTGATAGGGATTAGAATAATTTGATGACATGACCTGTACAGAAATAATTAAAGCTTAAATTACCTTCTGTCCGCGCATTTGTCTTTTGAGTTTTAGTAAATACGGCTTTCTCAAAAGATTCTTTGGCAGTATTCGTTGGCCAGTCCTCCTCTGAATAATACTTGACAGCCACACGTTTCCCTTCAGAATCGAGGAGGAGGATGTTCTTTATCGAAGGGCAGGACTCCTACAAACAACAGCCAATAACCGATTAAATATTGCCAAAACTTGAATCATTATACGATACACTGCACCAAATGATTTCAGCACTGACATTAAAAGGAGATAATCATGGCTACATCCACTGAGGGGTCAAATATCTCATTCATTCATGCTTATCAGGGAAAACTAATGTTTTGCTTCCAATTAGATATAAGCTTAAAATGGTTACCGACTCTTACCACATCAATAACAAAAGTTAATAGTCATTACTTGTACGTGTAAGCCTAAATATGGTGTAATGTGGATTGCAACTTACAGTAAAGAGAGAGTGTAATCAAATACCCAGTCAATGGAGTTGTTTCTCTAATTTGATAAACACGTTTGCATTCAGCATTCGAGATTTAACATGTCCTATCTTTTAGATAAGAACAAGCATGACGCATATGTGTGTACATCTAACATTGCGCTTGCACAATTGTGCTGAATATGTTCGACTACAAGTTTACAGAAATGATTTCCCGGGATCATAGTTGGTTCTGTTAACTCATTTGCAAGCTTATATTGAACATCTTAAAAACTTAAGCGGGATCCATTTATAACCTCAACTACATTGTTGAACACCATCAACAAGATCAAACAAACACAAAAATCTTGTGGAATAATTTCCTGAGAACACGGTCCGCTACGGTAACTCAGTTGCACGCTCAAATCCAATTTTTTCTTAAAAATTCAAATGGGATCCATCATCCATGTGTACCATTAACAGCATCAAATTACCAAGAACAAACAAACATAAAATTCAGAACAATTTATTATCTTCCAATTAAAAAATGCCTGCATTTTTCAAATTTCATCAAAAATATGCACTTAAATCATGTTGTTGTTGCAGGATCTGAGAGATCCAGTTCTAAGGAACTTGGATCCGACCCCAATTATTCCACTCACATACAGATCAAGAAGCTGATAACAATGTCTAATCCCTAACCCTAAATCCTAGCCCTAAAATTTTGGTAAATCAATTGGAATTTTAAGAGAGAGAAAGCGGAAGAGTGAGAAAGAAACTGACCATTTTGTTCGGCGGAGAAGAGCGAGTCTCAGACGAAGAAGCAAAAAGCAGCGGAATTTTTTGTTTTCCGGACACGTTTGTTCACATTTATACTTTCCCCAACCCACCACTCAATTTTACGTTATTTCTAGAGAACCCACAAGTTATTTAATTTTATAAATGTTTGCCACCAATTCTATTCGATTTTTCACTTCAGCCTCTGTAATCTCCCCTTTTTCTCAATCACGTCCAACCGCGAAGCTGCGCAAAAATACAAACTTTCGAGTTTCTATTGCATCATCTGATCACAGCCCACCGTTCAAAATCGCCTCCCCTTTCAGAGTCTACATCAACATTCATGAGTCGACTGTTGCAGAAGGTTTCTCTCTCTCTCTCTCTCTCTCTCTCTCTCTCTCTCTCCTCTTTCTCTTCTGCTGAAATTTTCTTGGAAAATTTACAGGTACCATTAGCATCTGTGATTCAAAGCTTCACTGGAACTCATGGACGGTAATTCCCTGCATGCCCTTTATATGATGATAAAAAAAAAAAATGGTTTTTTGAATCTTCAATTTCAATTTTCTGTAATTTCTCGACTTACCCATGTTTTGTTTGCCATTAATCTTGTGATTTGTTGTGTTGTTTGATGAAGATTTGAGATTTGTAGGTTGAAAGATTGCTGCTTTACATTCAATTTTGTTGTTTTGATTTTATAATTCTCTGATTTAATTAGAACTTCAGCATGCATGCACTTCTTGGAGTTGGATTCTTTTGTGAAAACAAATTTTGTACTTAAATTACAGTTCCGGTAGCCGAGTGTTTGAGATACTTCAGAACTATGTCAATGTGGGTTTGTTGTCGTCCAGTAGAAACTCAGTTTGTGGATTTAGAACTTTTTGCACTGGCAAAGCTGCGTCTAGACCTTTCGTCGTTTTTGTAGTTTGACAATCGAATGCAGTTTCTCTCCGAACTGCGACTTATGTGACAAAACCTTTCAAGTAAGCTTGTGGTGCCAGCACGCGGTAGAACATCTCATTACTTTGATATAATCATATTGAAGCCACTATGGCGTCATTGTTCCATACGAATCCATTCACAAAATTTTAGACATTGGCTTTATCTCCTTCTTACGAGAAGAGATGTACCTTGGGAAGACTAAATTTTCTTGTGTGCAAAGCTTATTCCACATGGCCGAAAACTAAATTTTCTACTCATGCCTATACCCAATTCCTCTGTGATTTATTGCGTTGGCCATTCTAAATACTCTTGTCCTGGTTTACGGCTTTGAGATATTGCTTAATCGATCCAGGACCTTTATGAGAAAAAGTTCTAAGTATCAAATTATTCCCATGTTTAATTGTGGTAACTGGTGTGTAATCTTTACTTCTTGGTAGGTTCATCTCTGCTGTGTCTGTCTATCCTCCTTAATCAGCTTGTACGGTTTCCAGTAAAATATAGAAGCTCTTATTCATTAAAGGGAAGGAACCTGCTTGTCCATTTGCTGGGCATATCCATGATTGTTGTTTTCTTATCTCGTATAACCGGCATTGATTATTTATTGATGTTATTTTTTCTATAATATCAAAATCTGGTAGTACTAGTTTTGTCATAGCTTTGTTTGTCAGGGAAGTCATATTTTTCTTATCTTTTACTGTTTTCTGGTGGCATTAGATTTGTTAATAAAGAAGTGCGTGTCTTGCGACGCAAAGGACATGCGACCCATGACTGAACAAGCAGCAAATGGATTAATCACAAAGGTTTCGATTAAAGAGTTAACTTTTACCTTATATACACAGTTACGCACACACACTTGTATGTTTCTCTTTTAATATTAATAGATTTGGTTTAGGTGGACGGATGGAATTTGGTGAGTGAAGGTGATGCTTTGAGACTGAAAAGATCATGGACAGTTAAGACCTTCACAAAAGGACTGGATATGCTTAAGCTCGTAGCTGATGTTGCAGAAGCAGAAGGTATTTTTAAGCTTTTTTTGGTTTTCTGATGAGTAGTTGTAGCTATTGCATGTATGAAGAATGCATTCGAATTTAAATAAGATAGAATGTGTCTGATGTAGATGGAAAACCGTATTGTGTATGTTCCAGGTCATTATCCAGATCTTCATCTAGTTGGATGGAACAATGTAACAGTCGAGATTTGGACACATGCGGTTGGTAAGGATTCGCCATTAATTAATTGTTACTATGTATTTATACACGTTTCTTGAATAAAACCATTATGCATTAGGTCGTCTTGGAGGGCAGAGGTGAGGTTTTTCCATCCCCTTCTCTCGGTGTATATACCGTTTTGCTAATGAAGTTTTCCTATCACCATTAAAGCTTCTGGCAAATAAAAGTATTGTACAATTCTTGCTTTACCTTGAGGAAAATAGGTGAACGTATGATACATGAAGCTTCGTCCAGTTACTTATTTCAAACTTTTGTTTGGTTTTGGTTCTGGTTACTGGCATTCTTGACCTGCATCGACCATTATTTCCTCAAAAATTGCAGTGTAACTAGACGGTGAAACTTACCAGCCGAACTCCGAATGTTACCTAAATATTTTCCAGCTAGAGATCACCTTAATACAACGCTGAAAGTCGTTCAATTAACTTAAAGAGCCAATTCATTTGAAAATTTGATTGCACATGAGATTTGGTTTTTGACATGGTATGCAATTGTGCAGGTGGATTGACCGAGAATGACTTCATACTTGCTGCTAAGATCAACAGAATCAGCATGCAACACCTACTGAGGCGGAAAGCTACCGATTGAGCCGTCGGAGCGGTGTGAGAAAATGTTGCCATGGGAAAACAAGTTTCTGTCTTCAGTTGGGCATCCTCTTTGACTCTCTGGTGTGACGTGAAGCGTCGTAGGAGATTGTGTATTACTGTTTTTTTCTTTTTTCTTTGAGCAAGTGTGCCTGAAAGAAATACTTGAAGCAACTGTTTTCTTTGTGATGTGATGACAGGGATTTCATGTTCCAACTTTTTAATTGTGCTTTGATACTTGAAGCTACCGTCGTCTCTGAAACTGCTACCGTTTTCATAGTTCGTTGCCGGAAAAGTCAGAAAATGGCTAGATGTCGACGGAAACAATTATCTTCACGAATCCATGATTGAATCCAGGATACAAATATCTTGGTTGAATCTACAACAAACGCACTGAATGCATCAGCCGCCGCAACAATTGCCGGGCTCCGGCTTCTCTGGCGGCGGAGGTGATCCCTCTTTCTCAACCAATTTCTTTGGTGGTGGTTGCTGCTAAGACCGTACAAGGAATTGCATTTGAACAAGAAGAAAATATGACCTACTTCCTTTGCTTTTTTCCCCAGCCTTGCATGGAATCCACGCGTTTCACAACCTTTCTTTGGTGGTGGTTGCTACTTCATGTGTTAAAGCCTACCGGAAAGCGTAATTGCTCTGCAGATTCATTTATGAAGAACTAATTTGGAATAAATATTACAATTAGTCAAGAGTAATCCTACCAAAAACCATTAACAAAGGCTGAGAACGCGCTTAATTTCTGCTTCTCCCTCCCTGGGAACCTTTGATAGCGTTGCAAATTTTGCGACGTTTGACGATTGTTTACATCATTAACAAGTAGCTAGAGGTGTAACTCGCTTTAGATCGGAGAACGTAAGAGTACTGTTTCATTGCTCGTTAACAGCAACGAGTGACGGCAATGCCTGCAACCCAAGCACAAAACCCCATCTCAGTCAGATTGTAAGTTACAGTCAGTAGCACAAAAATACCAGTTAAGGTTCCCTTTAGTTTGAATCACCGTGTGCAGATAGTGCGATGATCCAACACCACCACTTCCGAGCACTTAGAAATTGTTGAGCATGATTCATATACGATTAAAACTACTGCTAACGACGTTACATTACAGTAGAACGCTAAATTGTTTGCAATGTCATATCTCCGAAAGTTTTAAGCAAGGTTTACTAGGTATCACATCTTGGATTATTCACAGACCAAGTAAATTCTAGCAAACACTCAGCAATTCAAGAGGCCTAAAGACAATGTACACCGAAGGCGAATGCCATGTTCATCCTAGAACACCATGCTATATGATAGCAACGAAAGAACTAACGTGACTGGCTCTGGTTCGTATTAAGATCTCATAGAACTTTGTCCAACAAAGACATGAATGCCACAACCAGATCACGCAAAACATATCAGAGACCTGCAAATAATGCGCAAAACTTCAAACCAACGAAGACAACAACGCGATTCTCATTCTACTTAATTCGAGTGTAGTTTATATTCAGCTGACATTTTAACTACGAAGTAATTAACCACCAACAAATGCTAGATCCAACTAATTGCACTAATCCGTTTATACCAAAAATTGCAGATTCAAGGAACATACTGGGAAATAAATAGCATATTGGTACCTCAAATTGCAACCTCATTTCGAGACGGGTTTTTGGAGCAGAGCAGACAAGTAAACCTCGCCGTTCTTGATCCCGCCGGAATCGTTCTTATTTGCAGTAGCCCACTTCACCTTCCTGTACCCCAATTTCCCAATCAACGGTCCAAAAACCTTCTCAAGATCCACCCCCTTGCTGAAAAATTTATCCAACCACAAGTACCCTCCTCCCCTCAACACTCTATCCGCATCAAACAGCAAAAACTCTAATGCCGTCACCGGTATCCACCGGTTCACTGCGTGCGCGCACCGCACCAGATCCACCACCCCGTCGAACACTGGCAACCGCTGCTGCAGCGGCGCGTGAATTGGGACCAACCCTCTCAGCGCCACCGCCTCATTGTTGGGGATTCCGAGGTTCATCGTGGTCGTGACAACGGTGACATTGTAAAGCTTCATCCTCGCCGCGAAAGTCCCAGTTCCGCCGCCGATGTCGACGCCGAGACGGAGGACCGAGTTGGCGGCTTTGGCGATTTGGAAGAGCTGAGGGATTGGGAGGTCGAGCTCCGACTTGTAAGTCATGAAATTGGACACTTCGTGAGGCAGGTCGAAGCCCAAGTTGGGGTTTTTGCCGCCGAGGCAGCTGAAGCTTTTGCAGGAATACTTGTCCCACAAGACATTGGAGTCCGGAAGCGAAGGAGGAAACGGATTCAGGGGGAGAGAAGAAGTGGGTTTTGGTGGGGTTCTTGTGAAGCATCGGCGGCGGGGGAGCGGGTGGCAGCCGCGGAGAATGAGTGCCTCGGCAAGGTCGGAGTCTAGTGGGCAGAGAGAGAAGGGGGTGTAGGTCATGTACTTGTGGACGAGGTCAGGGTGGTTGTGGCAGGAGGAGGCGATGGGGGAGAGCTGAGAGTAGAGGAGAAGATCTGAGGGGATGTCGGGTTTGGTTGTTTTGGCGGTGGCGGTTGATGGTGAAGGGTGGTCGCGCGTGAGGTGGTTGATGGTGGCGCGTAATGTGTGGAGCTGGTGGAGGAGGTGGTCAGGGACTGGCTGGGGAGTTGGGGGTTTTGGGGTTTGGAGAGTGGAGGAGAGGTGGTAGAGTGAGAGTATGTTGGTGGCCACCATAGCCATCAGCAGCAGCAGATTCAGACCCATTGTCACTCCCATTTGCTTCACTCTCTGTTTCTCCTGGGTTTTGATCTCTCGCTGTCCTCACTCTCACTCACTCTCTCTCTCTCTCTCTCTCTCTCTCTCTCTCTCTCTCTCTAGATTTCTGGATTTTTTGGGAAATGGAGATTTGGGTTTCTGAGATTTTGGATTTAGCTTCTTGAATCTTGTAAGTTTGTGATGTCCTCACTGATTGTTTTGACTTACCAGTTAACCACAAGTGAGCTCTCAGCAGAGTGAGGTGTGATTGGGCATGAACATGTACAGCATTAGATTTAAGATGCGAGTTGGACCGTTGGATTGTGACAAGTATGTTGGGTTCCCACAGGCCATGCAGATGTTGATTTTTCGGAATCCAACGGCTGGAAAGTGAGTTGTATGGGTTGGCGATCGGGACTTTGGATTACTTTATTTCTTAATTTGTCATTTTCTTTTCTTTTCCTGCGCCCTCTTTTTTTTTTGGGTAAAGATTCCTGCCCCCACCCTAAGTTTTGTAAGATATTCTTATTAGCATTTTAAAATTTTTATTTTACTCTCTATTTTTTTTATAATTAGAAAAAAAAAATATACATGTGAGGAATGTAAAGTAAATTTTTTGAAGTACTAATAACAGTTTCCTATGTAATATGCGATTGATTTAAAAACTTATATTTTTGTTTAATTTGTACAATTCAACAATTAAGAAAATAAGTCAATATAAGATGTTAACGTGACTTAACCGTAACCATTCAAGTAAAAATGACGAAAAGAGAAAAAAAATTAGAAAGAGAGAGAAATTAAAAGGGGAGGGAATCCACCTCTTAGATCGTATTACTAAATGGCATAACTTTGAGATTTTGAAAGTGCATGCTTTTTAAGTAAAGGGATCTCTATTTTTTTTCCTTTGAAAAATGGTGATTAGGTGTGGGATTTACTCCAAATCGAATTTCAATGATTCGAACCGTTTATTTTGTAACTCTCGATTCATAAATCATCCTTGCAAAAATTCAATTCAATCAGAAACCATTTGCCTATTTAATTATCAAGATAAAATTTCATTGTTTCTTATATAACAAAGTATTCGTTAATTTCTTTGAACCTAATTAGATATCTTAAATATTTCCGATTTGGCTAATATTTTGCAATGACAATCTATAAGGTGCAACTTAAAAAATAAACAGTTCGAATCGTTAAAGTTCAATACAGTGCTAACCTCACAACTATTCCCTATTTTTATTAAAAAAAAAAAAAGAGAATCTTTTCCTTGAAGATTTTCATTCAAAGTGACTGTTTTCTTCCTCCTTTTATCCCTTTACACATATAAAGATGCATGAAAAGCTTATAGAATCCGCGCCTGCCCAACGCAACTTGTTTCGAAGACTCGATCGCTCATCCACAACTCGAATCAATGGTAACGTATTTTCTCTCTCTGATATTTTTGATTTCATTTTTGCATCTTTTTCGGCTGCTATTTTTAGTTTCAGATACCAAATATGGAGAGATTAGGGTTTACAATGTTTGTAAATTTACTCAATTGTATATATTTCTTGTCGATTTTAATCTTCTTTCTGGAAATCAGGGTTTGAAAACTCTTTGATTATGTTTGCACGATTATAATTTCTCGTGGGGTTGTGATTTTTATGGGATTTTGCCATTTTGGGTATGCAATTGACTAAGAAATGAATATCGGTAGCTCAATGTTTACTACGAAATAGGTGCTGCCTGTACACTTTTGTGACAGGAAGAGTGTTGTAGCTTTCGGAATTATACGGCGTGGATTTTTACGCCGAGCAGGCATAGAAATTAATGGGATTTGAAAACTTCCCGAAACTGTGAAACATGCTCAAAGAGAGTTAGTAGTTATATTGGAGCGTAGATGTATAAGCATGTCTTTGAACATTGCGCGGATTGTCTGTATGTATATTCAAGAGATTTCGTAGACTGCCTCGTTCTTCGTAGGGTGTTCCAAACTGCCTGACTTTTGGTTTTTCATTTGGCACCTGAGATGCGAAATGTACTACACAATGGGGTTTTTGGGAGGGATGGGGAAAATGGGTTGCGATTTCTCAATCATGTTTCTTTGCTGGTCTAAGATGGGTTTGGGTTAAATAACTCAGAAACGGGTTATATTTTCACTGAGCTCTGAGTTCCTAGATTTCATTAAACTCTATCCAAGTGCGCTATTTAAGTTCTGCACGTTGTAGCTGAAATGGGGTCCCCATTAAGAATCCCCAGGTATTTACATGTATGTGCATGTATACTTAGTAAAAGAATCATTTAGGTAGCTCAGTTGGTTTGAATGGATAGTGAATGGCAGGAACTGAATGCTGTAGATATAGTTTCCGGTATACATATATATGTGGTTAGAAAAATATATATCGTAGGTGAAGTCCGTATGATGATTACGGTTTGCTTTTTCCTAAAGTGTTTTTGTTTGCCCATCGTTTGACTTTTGTCGTTTTTAAAATTTTGGGCTCTTTTTTAGGCTGATCCTGAACTGGAAGCAATCAGACAAAGAAGAATGCAGGAGCTTATGGCTCAACATGGTGTGGTAAGCAATCAGCTTTTGTTCGTTTGAATATTTTTGCCAAAATCTGTGGTTGCATTTTCTTTTGATTTCTTGCTGATCTCACTAGCCTTACGTTGATCAACAGGGAGGGTCTGGAGGGCAACAACAAAACCCAGAGCAGCACAAGGCAAATGAAGATGCCAAGAGGTTGGGTTTCAGATCAATTGGGACAACCCTTTTCCAAACTCTTCTTATTGATTTGATTAATACATAATGCAATTAATGCAGGGAGGCTGAAGAACGGAGGCAGATGATGCTTAGTCAGATTGTGTCAGGCGAAGCTCGTGAAAGAAGTAAGCTGATATATCTAACATTGCCATTACTTAATATGATGATTTTACTTGTACGCTTTAGAAAATTTCAGATATCATCCCTACTAACCAATTCTTTGTCTCGTGTATTTTGGCACTATAAGTTGGTTGTTTAAAGTAGGAAGGATCAAAAAATGATTTGTTGGTAGAATTACTTTGGGTTAGCCTTATCTGTTGATCTAATTCGTCTGCTGCTATGCATGTACAGTTGCTAGAATTGCTTTGGTGAAACCTGAGAAGGCAAGGGGTGTTGAAGATGTTATACTGAGAGCTGCTCAAATGGGCCAGATAGTTGAGAAGGTATGGGGTGATATTTCATATCATGGTCGGTTTTATAGTTTCTCCACACAGCTTATTTAGTTTTTATTTTGAAGTAACAAGTTTGTTTGAACAGAACCAAAGTGCTTATTGCTTCATATTTCAGGTATCTGAGGAGAGACTCATCTCGTTGTTGGAGCAGATCAACAACCAAACAACCAAACAGACCAAAGTCACCGTAAGTTGTGACCATCATACAATGATTTTTCTTTTCCTTCTTTTTTACGTGGAAAAATGTACTGAGTTTTGACACGTCTTTCCAGTCACTCTTATTATACCAGATTCAGAGGCGTAGGAGCGTCCTTGAAGATGATGATTAAACTCTATCCATGCTTCTAGTCCGTGAGTTTGATATCTTTCAGTAATATCTTGACGTGCAAATATATCCTTTATATTATTCAGATGCAACTTTCAAATTGGTAAAGCATGCAAATCCTCGTTGATGTGAGGTAACATCACACAATATGAGGTACTCCATGCTGTTTGAGATTGGTTAAAAGGGTGCAGTTCTTGCAGGACGTTCTTTGGTTTGAAAGAGAGTCAAATAGGCAAAAGATGATAGTAATGTATTTTGTGATAGACTCAGAGTGTGATGAGCTTATTCCTTCCTTGTATCCCTACTCCTAGGATGTTAATTCTCCAATGTACTCTGTTTTCAATGGAGAAAATTGGAGCAAATGTCCTTTGACTTTAGCTCAATTGAAATTTCAGTACTTAGAACAAAATATTCATAAGTAGGACCTATGAACTTGACACAATGCGGAGCATATTGGTCCTTGAATTCGTTATAGTGTAGAGCTATGATCATTTCGAATAATCATCCTTTAGGTCTCCTTGTTTTGGCCTGCCGAGAATTGCTTTCAAGATATTGGCAATGCAAACTTTGGCGTGTCTACGAAGAAAAGAACTTTGTGGCGGACAGTTTAGCAACCTATAGTCTTGATTTAGATTTAGGTATACTCCTCCTTGTTCAGTTAGGTTTATTCGTAAGGATCGACTTCGGAGAATATCAACTCTGATGGCCGATGGTATTATGGGATTACTGCAGGCCCCCAATTGCAATTTTCTCCATTTCTATTGGACCATTAGAAGAAGTTACGAAATAATTGATGCTTTCCACCAAAAATTGAATACAAAAATATCAACCAGTATCTCTTTCATCAAACAATCTTATAATTTAATTCAATTGTTAATGTTTTCACAATTGTTTTATGTTTAATTTTGTGTTGTTCTTATCTAATTTTTGGTTCCATATCTAATCATGTTAGATTAGATGTGTATTTTATGTTAGCTAGAAAACAAATACGATTTAAACAAAATTAGAAAACACATGCATCACAATAAGTTACCCATAATTGCAATCTAATTTAAAGGGAAACAATGAGGATATAAATCCGGGTGAGGAACGTTGTTGTAACCAACTATATATATACGCTACTGACTCATACGGTATCTCGTATGTCAACTCTAAATTATATACGTAATTGACACATACAGTATCAGATCTGAAAACTCAAAATTATAACTTGGAGCTTGAAAAAAAAAAAGAATCTTAATATTCTAACTTGGACCTTGAAAAGTAAATAAATCCCTAATAAATCACATAAAATCCAGAGAGTAGAGATTTGGAGACAAATTCTAAATTGGAGCTTGAAAAATAAATTGGGATGTGCTACCACACACTCATTTTTACTTCTCACACTCTTTGTTAATTTCTGTCATCTGATCTTCTTCAATTTACTCGATCCAACGATCGAAAATTAAAAGGATGCGTGAGAAGTTAAAAAGATGTGTGGAGATCACATCTAAAAAGGAAAACCAATGAAAAAGGCTTGAAAACTTTGAGTTTTAACGATAAGAATAAAATAAAAGATAAAGTGAATAGTGCAAGATTGATTTTTTTGTTGTTGAAATTTCCCTGAATTAAATCCCAAATATCTGTGCGTGGGTGAATCATTTTCAACCAAGCCCGCCCGAGTCTGACTACGCAACACATGTCCAACTCTGCCTCCTGCTCGCTGTAATCTGCGACGTTGATTCTCTCCCCTCTTTTATTTCCTCGCGCCTTTTCGCCTGGCTTCCCAAGCTCCCAACAAACCGACCGAATCAAACTCCTCCACCCCCAACCGCCTCTCTCTCTCCCCTTCTCTCTCTCTCTCTCTCTCTCTCGCTCTCCTTCGCATTCCTCTCTTCGAAAATCTGCACCCATGTATCTTTCTCTGCATTAAAGAGTTGAAAGTTGTGAATTTTGCGTCATTCCCTGTTTTTATTTCCTTCTTCAAGCCCCCACAATCCCATTTCTCCAAACCAGCACAAAAATCTCCGGTTTTCCAGCTTCCCGGAGGCACCAAGAGCGGTTTTCCGGCAGACCCAGATAGAGGAAGAGCCTCTGCTTCCATTTAGGCTGCTCAGAGTTGCAAAAATTGAAAATTGACCCAAGTTCCCTGCAAACCTCCCCACAATCCCATTTCTTCAACCAAACAAAAAATCCCGGTTCCCAGTTTTCCGGTTTCCTGGCGACACCAGAAGCGGTTTTCCGGCGGACCCAGATGGAGAAAGAGCCGTTGCTGCCATACGTAGGCAGTCCGAGAAGAAAGCTGCCATCTTTATCGAATCTCTGGCCACTTCCAGAAGACGATGAATTCACTATCTCTTTAACGTCTTCGGAGTTCAAAGACCGTATAATCTTTGGCCCTGCAACTGCTTCGCCTCGAGATTCTTCACCTCTCGTCGATGCATTGACTCTGCCTATCCATTCTCCAAGAACTTCAAGACCCCCTTCGTCTTCTTCTCTATTGGACTCCATAGCCACAACCCACAGGACCCACAATCCCAACAGCCACCAACCCCGCAATCATGGCTCATCGACCCCAATTACTCGTGGAGCAAAACCAACCTCCACCGCTCGAAAACAGCTCCTGCCATGGCCGTGATCAACGAGGTGGCCAACCGGCGGTCTGTTCCCAGACCCCAGTTCGGTTCGCAGTCGATTGTAAGACAAGCTGTTGTACTTCTTGTTATATATCTTGCATTGGGTGTGATTATATATTGGTTTAACCGTGATCATTTTGCGGCTCTGGAGACGCACCCTGTGGTTGATGCATTGTACTTCTGTATTGTGACAATGTGCACAATTGGGTATGGAGATATTACGCCTACTACTACTGCAACCAAGTTGTTTTCGATAGCGTTTGTGTTGGTGGGGTTCGGATTTGTAGACATTTTGCTGAGTGGGATGGTTAGTTATGTGCTTGATTTGCAAGAGAATTATTTATTGAGGAGCCTTAAGGGTGTGGGTGAGAAAAAGGAGTCTTACATATTTGATGTTAAGAAGGGGAGGATGAGGATTAGGATGAAGGTGGGATTGGCATTGGGAGTTGTGGTTCTTTGCATCGGGATCGGTGTGGGTGTTATGCATTTTGTGGAAAAGCTTGGATGGTTGGATTCATTTTATCTTTCGGTTATGTCAGTTACCACAGTTGGGTATGGCGATCAGGCTTTTCAGTCTTTACCAGGCCGCATCTTTGCTTCAGTTTGGTTGCTTGTGTCGACGCTTGCAGTTGCTCGAGCATTTTTGTACTTGGCTGAGGCTAGGGTGGATAAACGGCATAGGAAGATGGCGAAGTGGGTTCTTGGTCAGGATATGACGGTTTCTGAGTTTCTTGCTGCTGACATTGACAATAACGGCTTTGTGAGGTATGTGTTATTATCACATCTTTTGACATTTTGATCTGTTTTGTTGTTTGAGATTGTTGTCTTGTTAGATATGAATATGGTCATCAGTGGTATGTATAATTGGATGTACAGGCCAGAACTGGTATTGAATTAGCCTTCTTCGCTTAATCAAATAACTTTGGCATGTTCCGAGCTTAGTAATCTACAGCCGTTAGCATTGACTAGATATTCATAAAATACCTATTTGAGTAACTAGATTTTGGTAGACCACTTACTAAGTTTTCTGAAACCCAAGACCTTCCATTTGACTGCCACAATTAGGGCTGGTTTAGGTTTGGTAACCGAATCGAAAACCCAAAACCAAAAACCGGACTGAATGAGTTCGGGAATGGAAGGTCTATACTGAAACCGAACTGTAATTTTCAGTTTCCCAAAATTCGGTAAACTCGAAATAATTTCGGTATTCCAATCGGTTTGGGAAAGATCCATCGACAAAGGAGGAGAAATTGCTGGAGGATTTAAATTGCTTCAAACTGCAGGATGATTCAAATTTTAGCAACAGCCTCTGTAAACAAGAAACAACAGCAGCCATCAAATTCTTAAACCCTGAAATTCTGAATTCGTCCCCTAATTCCAATTCAAAATCTCCAAATCAAAATTCTAATTCCATTTCAAAATCCCTAATTTAATCATTCCTAATAAAAAACACAAATTGATTCCGAGTTGGGGTGAAATATCTTACCTTCCACACTTGGAATGGCCGTTGGAGCTGGAAGATCTTCTGCGGCTGTTCACTGTGATCTTCTGCAGCCGTTGGAGGTGAAATTTCTCACCTCAATTTTGTGAAGAAACTAAGAAGGAGAGGGAGGGAGAGTTGACTGTGGTGTGGTGTGGTATGGCAGGAGGGGAGAGAGAGAGGATGTTGGAGTCGAGAGAGAACTGAGGTGAGGTCGAGAGAGAGAGTTGGGTTTAATTGAACGGTTAAGATTTAATCTCAAGCAATCGGACAGCAATAATAATTTAAATTTATATATTTTTTAAAATTAAAATTATATATATAATTAAATTTGGTCTGGTATTGCCGAATGTACAGCTCTATGGTCCCAATTCCCGTACCAAAGTTTCGGTTCGGTTACAGGGTTATGGTTTGGTATTGTCAGTTCGGGTTTTTTTTTTTTTTTTTGGGGTTGGATTCTGGGTTTTTTTTAGTCCTAGCCGTAATGCATAAGCGTTTAGGAGTTAGGAGAACTAATGAATGTAAATTATGGATATAATAAGTGAAACTTTGAAAGTGAAGCTTGTAGATTGCAAATAACAGATCAATTTCTGCTCATTTCGAAGGGCTGTCTAACTGCATGAGGACTGAAAAGAATCATACGAGAGATCATTGGCAGATAATATGAAATGAGGCTGTGCAGAAATCCTCCTTCCCCATTCTCCTTATCATGTTTGCTCAGTCCTCCTCTACTGGTCTTAACAACTTAGCGTTTCAATTGTGTTGAGCTCTGTAAGGTATATTCTTTTCTGAACGTCGTCTTAGGTCAAACTGTATATGAGTTGCAACTGGTAATTTGATATCCTGCTTAGTGCTTTTGCCGTACAGTCTTTGAAACTTAATATATAGCATTGACGTGCAAAATCATAATATCACCATCTTGATCCTGAATTTATTTTATACCGAGCTTTAGATTACGTATTTTGGAGTTCAAAGCTTGGAACCAGAGGTTTGACTCAGCTTTTCTATCTGTAACAGTGAGTGAAGTAAATATATAACAAACACTTTAACTCTTATTGGTACCCAAATTCTTGGCGACAAGGAGATTATGAGCACAGAAGTTTTTGACAAGTGCTTAGGTTTCACCAACTTTGCAGAAGAATAAAATGACTAGTTGAATATGTGACCCCGGCGATCTGCCCTAATTGAGGTTGAGTTACTTGTATAAGCTGTCTCAGTGCTACGCAATAATGTGATTTAGATTTTCTTTCTTCGTATTGGATCGTAGTAATCAATAGTGTTAGCATATTATTCTTACACTAAGGAACTTTTATTCAGAAATGCCACTAGCTTTGCTTGTATGACTTCATTTATTTGTGACTTGGTTCGACTTCTTTCCATTTTCTGGAGTTTTCGACTTATTTCTTTGGTAATTATGAGTTGCAGCACTGCAAGTAGTCAAGTTTATTTTGGCTAACTTTATCGTGTTTGTGTGTGCAGTAAGTCGGAATATGTCATATACAAACTCAAGGAGATGGGAAAGGTATCAGAGAAAGATGTAATGCAGATCTGCACCCAATTTGATAGGCTAGACACAGGAAACTGCGGAAAGATAAGCCTTGCTGATCTCTTGAGTCGACATTGATATCCAAGTCACTTACGAAGTATGAACTTTGCTGCCAGATCCGTTGGTACTCTTCCTCTTGCCCATGCATCCTGAGCATCAAGTCAATCTTTCGTACTTCAAACGTTGATGCGTGGTAAGCCTCGCAGATGCATTTCCTGTTAAGTATACAACAGTCAACAAATCAAATGTCAATGTAGACGAGTAGCGTTTATATTGCCGAAATGAATATAAAAGATGAAAGCTCAGAAATCAACCAAATGATACTTTTTGCTGCTTCGTAACTGTAAATTAGTACGAATGAAGGAGAAAGAACCTTGATTACGTGACGAGCTCACTTCGCTTTCTTTCTTTGTTGCACGGAGATCAAGTTTTTTATAATCACAAATATGAACACTTTGGTAGATTGATTTTGTTGAAATGTTGTTTTTCTCTGCATCAGCAGGTTAGGACTTGTGTAACATCCTCATTAATTTTTAAGAATGACATTATTTATCTTTCTACACATATTTTCTCCCTTAGAGAACAAAGTGACTGTTATCACTTACCACTATAACCACTATCCTTATATTACCACGCCATTACCACCATCATTGTTGCCACCACCACCAATGTTGTCGTAGTCACATCGTTACCGCCACCACCACAACTGCCACCACTAGCACTACAACTACCATTACCATCACCATTGTTGTTGTCACCATTGCCATAATCGTCACCACCGCCACTGTTACTATCATCATAACTACAACCGCCATCACTGCCACCCCAATCACCACTGTTGTTGCCAACACCTCCCTTTGCATCCCAGCCGTCACACCCCACTACGAGCACCACCGCCAACCCTTATAATTGCTAATGTCATCACCATCACCATCACCATCACAGTCACTATCGTCCACACCATTGCCATTGCCACTGCTAATGTCATCGCCTTCACCACCACTGTCATCGGCACACCGTCTACGATTGCAGCCACCAGCCTTACACCACTATTGCCATCACCACTACTAGTTGTCACTGCAACCCCCAACAATGATGCAATCGCTACCACTACCTCTGCACCCCAACCACCACACCCCTACCCTACCATTACCTCTACTACCCTCTACACCGCTGTTAATGCCACCATGCGCATATGTCAATTTTTCATTATATGCAATTATATCACTTTAATGTTAAAATTTACTATACTTTTACTGTTTTACACTGTTTTCATACTCAGTACTTTTAAAAAAATACAATTTATCAAACGTTCAGTTGCTTTATTTTACAAATGATTATTCTTTACAAAACACAACAATTCCAAACTCACTTAAGGAAGTGATTTTTGCGTTCTCTTTTTTCTCCCCATACTTCCCCTTTCTTTATTTTCGAATTAAATGAATCAAAGGAAAATTAAGAAACATAGACAATAAAATGAGTGCAAAATGAAAAAAATTAGAGTGAAAATCACTGTCATTAATTTATTGAAATTATGGCATTTGTATATCAAAATAGCCTTTATTCTGCCGCCCAACGACATGAATTTTCCGTCACGCACCAACGCAGACCTAAATTTTTTGGAAACAAAGGTGAAGTTGAATGTGTGGAAAAAGATGATTCAAAAAGGGTCAATATGTATGGTATATTTGACTGCATACTTTTTGAAAGTTCTGCTTCCAAAAGTTGTGCATTTCCAATACGTAATAAACCCAAAAGTTGTGCATTTCCGACTCTTGGTTTACCAATTATTCTCTCACATAATTATAAAAAGTGAATTTGAACGAGTAAATCTGCTACTGCTACAAGTATATATTCTGCTGTGAACTTTGATTCTGTCGGTTTCAAAAGCTTGATCAGCAAAGCAATAAGCACTCATAATCTCTTGCGACTTATTCGGGTGATTGAATTGAAAGGAGACCAAGGACTGGATATATTGCTTTATTCTTTCTCCCTTCAAAAAGTTGCCTTTTAGAATAATGAAACAGGTCCTTTTCTTTGAAGTGTTCGAGAGTCTGATAGAAACGTTCACGAATTCGAAACTAAGCAAGAGTACAAGTAGTTTATAGTGTGATTGCTAGACGGTCGTATGTTGTTAATTCATGTGTTCAGTATTTTTATAAACAATATTTTTTAGATACAACAAGGATTGAGATCACAATTACATTGAGTCTTGGATGAGAACGTTCTGAACAATGTCACGAGGATCCTAACCATATTCAAATAATTGATGTCAGAGGGATCTTTAAATCATACTCAAAATGTCCTAAATAATGTATGTTCAATATTTTTTAAGGGGATGTCATATATAGATAACTAAGACCAGAATGTCACTGATTCTTAGATGAGAACATCATGAATAATGTCAGGAGAAACCTTATGTCATACTCAAGTCATTGCATACACTAAGAGTTTCTCTAATCTATGGACAATCCTAATTTACTTCCTTAAATAGCTACACATATGTATTATAACATAAGTAAATTAGAAACATCGTGTGATGCACGCAAAAATTATGCCGAAGATTCTTCATATATATACCAAGTCTCTCTCTCTCTCTCTCTCTCTCTCTCTCTCATATTAGAAACTAATTAACTTAAAGGAATCATCATAGCAAGACTTGAATTCTATAGCTTAAGTAGACTGTTGTTAGTATTGTTTTTGACTGACTGGGAAACAAAGACCATGCTCGATTTGAATCTACAGAGATTACCCTAACTGGGAGGAAAAACTACAAAGAATGCAAACATATATTTATTTACAAAAACATATTACGGCAAGGCCGAGTCAACTTAATCAACTATTTGCAACTTATGCTAATGAGTAGTGACAGTGTCAAAGAAATAATACATTAACAATTTGGTAAAAGGAAGGTCTTGTATTTCGTTTTCTGTTCTTTGCTAGTTAGTAAAATGGTGGGGGCATGGCATTATGCTAATTAGAAATTTCAAATTGTATAAATAAAGTAAAAAGGAAAGTTGCAGTTGTTAGAACTTAGAACCAGTCAAGTAGATTTTTGACCTCTTGAAGAATCTTTCAATGTGGGGGCTCCTTTCCCATCTTGTGTCTTGCTTATTAAATTTGCAATTTGCATCAGAAATCTTAGTTTTCAGGTACATCCCAAATATTCTCACACATACACACACATATATGTATATATTTATATGTATGTGGAAATACTTTGACTGGAGTGGATGGTGAATAGTCATTTCCAATGTTGACTTTGGCTTTCAAGTCAATTGTCAGGATTTAAAAACATTAGCCTTAGATGGATAAAAGTTCTGTTGAATTGAATTGTCAGCATTTCTTCAGTCATATCATGTATAGTTTAAATACAATTTGTATTGAAGCTGACTGGAAAAGGAAGAGAGAACTAATGGAGAGAAGAAAAAAATGTTGTGCTAAGTAAACTTTTTTGAACGAAGCTATATCTGGAAGAGAAGCGGTTCATTACTACTGCAAATTGGCTTTTGTAACTTTGCTACATGTAAACTAGCTAGTTAAAAGTAACCTATTGTTTGCTTGTATTTCAGTACTTCGAAACGGCTAATTTTAATACATTACTATCTCAATACTATTTCTTTAACGTGCGAGTACATGTTGATTGGATTTTTATGTAGTTCCAATCTTAAAAAAAAAGAAAAAAAAAATACTAGAGAGATCACATTTTTATTATGAAAGTGTGGAATCTGAGACAATTGATTGACAAGTGGGGCATTATCAATCGACCAACTATCTCACATTTCGTAAAATAGAAGAATCTCATTTCTAGCTAAATGGGCATGCATGTACGTGTGCATATTAACCAAAAAAAAGGTCTGATGTATTATGTGTATGATATATACAAATGTGGGATTGCTTGCTTGGTGTACATATAATTTGGGTAACAGTGAAGCTTGTGATATATATTAATCTACATATAGGTGCAGATAACTTAAACTTGTTAACTTTCATTCCTACAAGTTAGCATGCTGATTCTTGTCTTGGAGTTCCCCCTTATAATTTTACGACCATACGCAAAGTAATAAGTACATATGCATTATTGTCCGTTTATAGGCCCTCTTAACTATATCAATTATTGAGCAGAAAGTTAGGCACACACTGCTATATATCTTGATGAACTGGAATTCTGATCCATTGATTAATGTGTGGCTGTGTTATCCGTATATAGATTACTCATACTAATATATATTTACACACACACATATATATATATATGTATATATGTATACATGAGTGTGTGTGTGTGTACCTTGGTGTAATTAACCACGGCTGATACATGATACAACAACCCTAACATTTTCTTTTCGCTAATAATCAAACTTTGATATATATTAATATCGAAACTTTCGTCAGTGACTCAGTCTTAACTAACAGTTGATGAAGATAGTATATATTAGTGCAATTTGTGGTTTAAATTAGCAACAAGACAACATGATATATCACATTATTTGATAAGACATTAAAAAGAGAAAAAGAAGAACCGTAAACCCTAAAGCCGAAGGCACCAAGCTGCATCTAACCTTACCTGTATATGTTTTTGCTGTCACGTACCTTGGCTAAGAAGCCATGCAAGGGTAAAAAAATCAATAAAATGTTGGACAACTTCAAGGGTAGCAAACATGGGAGTAGGGGCACTGTTTTAAAAATCCTCGTCTAAGCCCACTTAGGCGCTAGGTGGCTGGTCATTGCCTCGATTAATCTTTAGGCATTTGAAAATTATGAAAGTGTACCTAAACCCACTTAGGCTCCCGCCTAGTCCACCTAGGCACCCGTCTAGCATGCCTAGGTCGTGACTCTCACTTAGACAGAAAATTAACAACTTTGATTTTGCATTTTTTTTTTGTCAATAAGATGAAAGAAATTTGTTGAATACTTGGATGAACAGTCATTATATGCTTTTTTCCCCATGTTTTCAATATCCTCTAAAACTTTATAATTTATGTATTTCGATACAATTATGGGTTTTTTTTAAAGTATAAATAGCCCTTATTTATACAGTATATAGTTAAATTTACTTAAATCCTCTTAGTCCGCAGACCTAGCCGCTAGGCCCCAACCCACCGTCCGACTAGCGCCTAGCGTCTTTTAGAGCCTTGAGCAAGGGCAATAACTCTTAGTCGTACTTGTGTAGTTTGTTCACGGATGAGAGACCGTTATTTTATTAATATAAGTTAGTAATTTTATCTAGTGCACAAATCCATTGTGCACAATATAGTTGATAAGTACGATTCAAAATAGCAAACATAATGAGTATAGGGGCAATAGCTTTTGCTCATTCTGAACTAGATTATTCACAAATGAGAGAATGTTACCTTATTAATATGTGATTAATACGAGTAACTTGCACAATCCACACCTCCATATATAGCATACAATATGATAGATAAATTGTCATATCCCGGCCCGGGCCCCCACCACATTCCGAGCTCGACTCCACCGTAGCATGATATTGTTCGGTTTGGGCCCCAACCACGCCTTCACGGTTTTGTTTTTGGGAACTCACACAAGAACTTCCCAGTG